TGTATGATGCTGTTTGATTGCTGAAGTTCGCTATTGCTCATCTTCCTTGCAATTTGGTATCGGAGCTGTGGTACGATTGTGCTCATCTGGCGCTTGTCTTCTTCCTTATGCGGTACATAAATGCGATCTGCTGGGCGAGTTTGGCCGTAAGTGGTGTGTAGTGAGGAGGGTGGAAACGAGTGTGTAGGCGACCTAGGAGGTGAGGGGATCGCCAGGAAGGCTACGTGGGGTGAAATGTGGTCTGGACAGTGTGATGAGAACTATCTAATGTGCGATTGATGCTGAGGTGGAACGACGAGATAATGCTGGTTGTGCCGATGCAGTGACTGGTCATCGCAATCGCCATCTGGTCATCTGGTGAGAATTATCTCTGTGGTTGGGGGCAGCTAATTGAGGTACGTTGCTCTTAACCTTATCTTCCCTCTCCGACACTGCTTACCGTGAGGTTGTGTGTTCCTTCTTGAGAGTCCTCTCATCGTGAGGTGTCGAGTGCGCTCAACCTTGAGAGTCGGCAATGTTCACGTGGAGCATCTGGGTGGAGATGGGCGGAGCTTTCTGAAGGGCCCTGGACGAAGCACTGGGTCACGGTCACCATGCCAACCCACAGGGAGTAGAGCACGCATGCCTTGCTGCTTGTCCTTTGTTCGGCTTGCTGCGCTGTTAGATGGGTACTACTGGGCAGGCCAGCCCTACAGGAAAGACGAACGGCGTCTATAAATAAACACGGGAAGGGGATATCACTGGTTGTGATCTTCGTCCTACTGCGACGTAAAATAATTCCTGATGTCACTTGGGGGAGGGCGTTAAAATGCCTCTGGATCAGCCAGTGATGTAAGGCTCGCGGCACGCCGAGGATAAATATACATGCAAGGCTGGCCAACTCAGAGGATACTCGGGGCACAGGGGTAGGCCGGACACACACACCTTTAGACACTCAACGCTCTCCAGATTGCTCAGGGACGCTGACGTCGAGTGATACTCAGGGGAACTAAGGGAGGGGTTGATTTCAAGTGATAAGTTCGAGAAAATTCCATGCTGTCCTATCCACACAAATGATTCTATTTTTTTATGTTTTGATTAGTTAGGTGTACAGCCATTGCCATCTGACAGACAGCATTAGTTAGAACTGTTTATTGTTCCTGGTGCTTCTGTTTGCGGACTAGTCAGACTAAAATTAGTTTCATTTGTAGGAATCTGACTTACCTGTTGACCTCAAGTGATATCTGTTCCAAAATAGCCACCAATTAATTAATTGGTTTGTGCACTATGTCGCGGTAGGCATCTTGAATGAACTAGTGTAGACGGTGCACAATATTGTAGCCTATGAGCGACGAGGAGGACACCGGAGAGGACGGTCGGAGGATATTGCGATCAGGTAGACGCCCGATAGCCCACGTGTCCTCAGGACCGAAGGGTGATAGGATTCTGTTCCGCCGGCTTAGGGAGAGGCAGCAGCAGCAGAGGAGGGCTAGAGCAGCCGAGGCCAGCAAGACTCTCGTTAGCGAGGCCGGTGCTACAGCAGCCATGGCCACTTCAACCATGGTCACTTCTTTGGGTCAGTCAGTCCACTGGCGTGATGGCAAGCCAGGCATTGGTGTTGACTCCAGAGGATGTCGCCATCCAGCAGGCAGCCCTGCAGGAGGCACAGCTACAGTGGGCATTAGGAGAGAGAAAAGTGGAGAAGGAGAAGATGATAAGAAGAAGAGCCAGGATGCAGCGAAGAGGGGCAGACATAGAGGAGTTAGAGACGATGGACCTGACAAACATGGATGATGATGTGAAGGTAGTTAGGAGGGCCCTGCGAGGCGTAATAGAGATGCAGGAGCATCAAACTACCATCCTTCAGGATATCCAACAGAGCCTAGCCGTTTTGGCAGGCCGTGCTCAGGCAGCACCATCACCAGCCGGGCCTGGCGCCTGGCCCGTGCCATATCCTCCTTTTTCTGTCCCACCGGTGACAGGGGTATCCCCATATGTAGCCCCGTCAACGGTTGCTATCGTTTCCCTAGGCATGCCGCTGTCAGGAGGGGTAACAACAGGGAGTAGTTTGCAGGTTCCTGTTCAGATAGTGTTTACCCAAAGTCCGTCGCAGGTTGCAGTCACCATGCAGCCTGTGCAGCCTCAGGGCACGCAGCCCCAGCAGCTAGCACAGCAACCTGTGTCACCGGGTCCACAGCCCGGAGTGGTGCAGGGACCGGGACAAACTCAGTGGGTTCCAAAGACGGCCATCGCCGCTCCCAAACCTTTTACAGGGGATAAGAGGGGCGAAGACCTCGACACGTGGTTGAGGGCAGTGTCGGTCTACGTCAGGTGTAAACTCACCTTGCCGCACGAAGAAGTGCTTGTGGCTGCTTTCTATCTAGAGGGTAGTGCAGCAAGATGGTTGAGTGGTTTAGTACAACTCCAGGGATATGGTAATGACTTCCGCGCTTGGGCGGCCTCCCAGAAATTGGAGGACTTCCTGAAGATGGTGGAAGAAAGGTGGCATGATCCTTGGGAGACCCAAAGGGCCACTGATGCGATTCTGACACTGCACACAAGGCAGTTTAAGTCAGTAAGGGAAGCCACCGACGCTGTTGAGCGTTTGATCTGTGTCCCAGGGGTGCGCTATGACCCCCAGGTCCTGTTGACTTCGTACTTGAGATGCTTTTCTCAGCCTCTCRGGAACTAGTTGGCAAAAGAGGCCAACATCAATATGCACAACTTTCCTTCGTTTAGCAAGGTGGCCCTAGACCTTGAAGCTAAGATAGGGCATGGATAGGCACCCACTACGGATGGGAGGAAGAAGACACTGCCTCCTAACTGGAAAGCGAAAGGTCGCTTGATGTTTGTCGACAACGATGGTTCAACCATCGAGC